CCATTAACATTAACATTAATTAAGTGTAATTAACATTCATTGTCTGCTATGTACAAGAACTGTGGAAAATTTAAAGATCAATAATACGAGAGAGACATTGAGGAGAAGGAAGAGGATAAAGAAAGAACATTCAATGTGGGCTCGAGATGTATATTAAGATCATGCTAATTTCAGTGGCTTGATCCAGCAGAAACTTACTTCTCACTAATATAAGTCTAATGTGTTACTGGTATGCCAAAAGCTTTCCTCCACGTAATGATTCAGGGCCTACGTGACTTCCTTCCATGGCTCCACCATCCCCCAGCATCCAGACAGAAAACTCAGAGAAAGCAAACTCACTTCTCAATTGCATTAGATCAAAAGCAACACGTGTCATTTCCACTTATCTTCTGCTGGTAAGAACCAGTCATATAGTCAGTTCTACCTTAGATAAAAGAGGGATTGAGAAATGTAGTCCAAGCCTGAGCAGGTGCTAAACCAGAAGCAGGAGTCTTTGTTTAAAAAGCTAACCATCATGGGGACGCCTAGGTGGCTCACTCAGTCTGTTAAGCATCCAACTTTGGCTCAGATCATGATCTCGCGGTTCGTGAGTTTGAGCTCCACACTGGGCTCACTGTTGTCAGTGCAGAGCCTGCTTCACATCCTCTGTTCCCCTCTTTCTCTGCCCCTCCCCTGCTTGCACTCTCTCTCTCAAAAATAAAATAAACTTTAAAAAAAAATTAAAGCTCAAACTAACTAAAAAAAAAAAAAAAGCTGGTGTGCCTGGGTGGCTCAGTCAGTTGAACATTTGACATCAGCTCAGGTCATGATCTCAAGGTTTGTTCAAGCCCCGCATTGGGTTCTGTGCTGACAGTTCAGAGCTTGGACTCTGCTTCAGATTCTGTGTCTCCCTCACTCTCTGCCCCTCCCCCGCTTGTGTTCCATCTCTCTCTCTCTCAAAAATAATAAACATTAAAAAATTAAAAAAAAAAAAAAAGCTAACCACCATGACTCAGAAGAGATGTAGGAATCAAGAGTTCAAATTTTAACACTGATGTTATTTTTTTTTAATTCTAGTTGAATAAAGTAGTTAAAAATATGACTTCCTGATTCCTGATCTGAAGGCAGGATAGTAGGTTAGACACAGAGCCATGTCCTCAGTGGGTAATTAGACCATTTTTCTTGAGTTAGCTAAATTATTTTAAAAGAAACAAACATTTCATACAGTACCCAAAACAAGAGCTGCTGATATACACATACCTGTCTTGTATGTGTGACTATCTATCACTAAAGCAAGGTCTAGAGTAGAAGGGCCTATAACAAGATATTAACATAGTCGTATCCAGGTACTAGAGTTAGGATACTTTATCCTTTTCTTTTTATGCTTATGTATTTTTAAACTTATCTACAATGAATACCTACAGTCTCTATGGATGAATAAATTGTAAATATTTTCAAAATCAGTGCAGATCAGTGTTTTGATATTTAGGAATTTGGAGAAGTGGTTTTCATCATTCTTTTCTCAAAACCATAAAAGTTTATTTACTCTGTTTTGTGTATTAACTCACAGAACTAAATTGGTTTTTACATTAACCTATTTTTGATCATTTGTTCAGATTGATTGCTAGTTCTCTCTTGGATCCATCCTACAACTCTCTCCCATAATACACTACACACTACCGTCACTAATTACACAGAATAATAATAACAATATTGGGCATTTGTGATGTGCCAGACACTGAGTCACTTTACATGTCGTACCTCACTTAATACCTCCTACCTGGTAAGATAAGTGCTATTATCACCTCATTTATATGTAGGAAAACACACTTGGAGAAGTATACTACTATTCACTCAACCTCTCACAGCCAGTCAGTAACTGAAGTGACTATGAACCCATGCATAGCCCATGCATTCAAACACTATATTACTTTCCCTCCAGAAAAACTATGTTATCTAGTAACAACTTACATATGAAAAGTAGTTTATAATATTTAGGGAACCTTTATAAACTGTATTGCATTAGATTTTTTCCTCATTTTCAAGTTGAGGTAATTGAGAGTCAAATGCTCAAGGTTCCAAGGCTAGAAGAAGGTGGCATCACATGTTATCTATCTAGAAAAACAGCAACCATACTCATTATTTCTATCAAAAGTGATTTAATATAAGGAATTGGTTACCAAAGTGTTGGGAAAGCTAGAGGACAAAAAATGGAGATGATCAGTAGTGTCAGGAAACCACTACCATCACTAGAGCTGGAGGAAAAGAAACTGATAATATCTACAGCCAATGGACACTGCTGAGCAGAACTGTGTGAATCCATGTGCCTCTGGACAAGAAACCAGAAGCCAACAGTTCTGCTGAAACTTCCAGACTGGTTGCTTTCACTGCTAGTTTCCATAGTCACTTACCATTGCTCCTGCAGTTGTCAAAGCCAGAAGCAGAAAAAATACAGCTTCTCTCTTTCTTCTACTTTATGATGCAATGTCCCATTGGCTAAGTCAAAAGTCTCCAGGAAATATGGGTTTTCAACTTCCAGCCATGTGTAATACAGAGGAGACTATAAAAGGACAAGTAGGAAGCTGAGAGCCAAGATTCAGACAACTGATACAGTGGCAGAAACAGAACTGAACTCAGAGCTTCTGACTTACAATCAGTTATTTTTATCCAATGTGTGTTTATGCAACTCCTCTAAGCCAGGCACTATGATAGCAGCCAGGGCTGCCATCATAAGCCAGGTATAATGAACAAGGTATAAACCAGGTATATGAACCAGGTATCACCTGGCCTTGGCCCCGTGCGAATCACAGTGTTGTGGAAATGAACATGGGAATTCTTTCCCACTACATTCCATCCTCTGGACAAAGCTGAGGCATCTTTCATGGGTGCAAAAGTTTGCTGGATCTTGCTGTGTCAACCGATTAAGTTATGAATTGTGTTTCCCATTGTTTCCTACTCTGAATGTTCCTGAGTTAGAGTTGGTCAAAAAGAAGAATCTGCACAAGACTGGAAAACAGAGGTGAAGCAGAGGAACTGCTCTCAGAAATCTTTGTGGTAAGATACTGTTACGGACAGGTGAAGAAGTGCCCAGTGGGCCTCAACTCTCCTCCACTCTACATCCAGCCTGTCTTCTCAGTCATTGATTCCACCAGCCACCTAATGTTTGGCTACAATGAGACACAGCAGCTACTTCCCAGGCATCGCTCCCTGACTGCCCATTTTCAGTCCCACTTGGGCAGCTGGATGTGCTTGCTCTGCAGATTTCCCTGCAAGCTCATTTGTTCCCTGCAAGCTCATTTGTTCAGTCTATCAGGCAGACTGGTTAGTGACTCTTCAATCCTCTCTTGCAGATCTTTACTTCCCAGGGCCTCCAACAACTGGGCACAGTCTAGTTTCTGCTAAAGAAATCTCTTCTCTCAGAAACTCAAAGTGTCCCTACTATTGTGACTGATAAACATAGAGTTCTTTTGGCATTTTCTTTTTTTTTAATTTTTTTTTTTCAACGTTTATTTATTTTTGGGACAGAGAGAGACAGAACATGAACGGGGGAGGGGCAGAGAGAGAGGGAGACACAGAATCGGAAACAGGCTCCAGGCTCTGAGCCATCAGCCCAGAGCCCGACGCGGGGCTCGAACTCACGGACCGTGAGATCGTGACCTGGCTGAAGTCGGACGCTTAACCGACTGCGCCACCCAGGCGCCCCTCTTTTGGCATTTTCAAGAACAAGTTATCTTTCAAAATCCTGGGAAGAGCTGCTACATGCTATACTAAATCATTTCTTAGGCATGGCTCGTGATGATTTCTTACATGTTTAAGACCTATTCACCTCTTGGCCTGTTCCCCTCCCAGTCATCAGTATAGTACAGTACTTTGATCTGCCTACAAAATTCAAAGTCTAGTTATATCTCTGACATTAAATTAATAAATAATTCAGCAAAAGGCTTCATTCAGGCAGGTCTCCTGGGAGTATCAGTGGCTAACCAGAAAGATAACCAAAATATTATTTGGTTTATTATTATATCTTTCTATTAAAAAATTGGGGCACCTGGGTGGTTCAGCCCGTTGGTTGAGTGTCCGACTTCAGCTCAGGTCATGATCTAGAGGTCCATGGGTATGAGCCCCGCATCAGTCTCTGTGTTGACAGCTCAGAGCCTGGAGCCTGCTTAGTATTCTGTGTCTCCCTCTCTCTCTGCCCCTCCCCTGCTCACACTCTGTCTCTCTCTCAAAAATAAATAAACATTAAAAAAAATTTTTCAATAAAAGTTTATTTCCCTTATTGCTTATATTGAATTTTTCTCTGTTCCCTGGTGTAATGCTGAGTTCCTCCTACTATAATACTAACATCACAAGTCTTCTCAACTTGCTTGCAGGTTATTAATTGTCCTATTGACTGTGTATTAGAGTCAGAGAGTATTAACTACCTTTTCTTGTGGTGTCATGATAATCACCAAAGAAAATAACATAGGTTTAGGAAAAGCCAACTCTTCAATAAAAATCAGGGCTTATCTTCCTAATCTGCACAAAAAAAAAAAAAAAAAAGAATAAGGGCTTTGGAAAGATTGTCATGGGTTCTTTTCAGTGAGTCACTAAACCATTAGGTGTAATTTTCCTCTATGTAACTGTGATAGAAAATGTCATCATCCAAATTATTTGAAGTGCTGACCAATGGGAATAAAGGTAATAGACTTTTTGACAATAGTAGAGGAAAAGTTCTGAAATCCCATATCAGCTTACACTCATTCAACACATTTAGTTGATTATAATGAACATGTCTGTAAAAATACAAAGCTAGGACAGACTAGGAACTCTGGGGGATTGGAATAGCCAGAAGGGCAAAAGTCAGAGTCCCAGAGAGTGAGCTGCAAAGAAAATCTTTAAGATGTAGTTCTCTCATAGAAGTCTCTATACAACACTGGGCAAGCAACGCAACATTTTTGGTTTATCATGACAGATTGAGGTAGAGGGGAGGGGAAGAGAGGGAAAGAGATTCTACCCACATTGACAGCGCATTTTTGTTCAAGGTGGCTTTGGTGCAGGATGGTTTGGAGAGGGGGCAGCCAAGAGCAGGAAGCAGCAGCAGCAGAGGGATGCCTCCAAGAGGCTCAGAAGAGCAACATGAAACAGAGATCTGAGGAGGGAAAATGACAGAAGACAAGAGGCGCACACCCAGAAGCAATCACACATGGTCTGCAGGCTTTGAGATCCAAACAGAGAGATTTTTTTGCAGGAGAGTGGAAAGCTGGTGTCACGTCAGTAGGGAGAGATGGGGTACATATTTACATTTAAATTGTTCCAAAATATTTTGAGGCAGTTCACAATAAAAGTAAGGACTGAAAACCCTTGAAGTGTTTAAGATGCAAGGAATGTCTTCTTTAACCCCACCCTATCCCCACAAGCCTAGTGCTATACCTGCAACATAGCAGGACCACAAAATAGCCAAAAAAAAAAAAAAGTTGAATTCGTGAGTAATAAATAACATAAAAACAGAAATGATACCAAATCCAACATTCAAATTAATTAAGAATTAACATAAAAACAAAAAATAGTGAATAAAGAATGGAGAAAAACAAAAAGAAAGAAACAGTATCAACAATGAAAAGCTTGACTAAGAAAAGGTGCAAGAATTGGCTAAAAACCAAACTTCCTAAAAGCCAGAGCAAAGATTTTATAAAAATTAGTTTAATAGACATATAATTTCATCGAATAATGAATAGTTGTCCATCAGCTCTCAAGCAGGCTTTGTCACAAAGATATTTATGTAAGAGACGATGAGCAGTACTATGGACACGTTCTCAAAAGCCATTCAACAAAAACTATTACAAAAAACTTCCACATATGGTTATTCCTTGTACTAGACCTCTGTAAAAGTTGAGGATGGAAGGTAAAGTTGTTGGTTTTTAAATGAAATACAAACAAAGGACAGGGCATGGTGAAACACTCTAGGTATGTAGACAAATCAATATGATTTGTCTTGATACATAAATAAATTTGCAAGAAGCTTACAGGATGACTGCTTAAGTTCTCCCTTACTATCCCTCTCAAAGATCAATTATGCCACCAAGGTTTTTGAGAAGAATCGATATGATAAGAACTATACAAATGAACAATTCTTGAAGAGTAGGTATTCTATACTATGGACTGAAAGAACATCTCTTGGTTTGGACAGCTGCAGTGTGGAGTGTATATAAGAAAGATGCTGCTTTCCTAGGGCCATTGCTAGGTCTGATTTAAAGCCTTGAATAGCTGCAGATATGAGATGCCACAGGAGTACCCACAAATGGGATTCAAGCCTTTTTTCAGAGATAAGCTCCAATGCTGGTCAAATGTCCCAAGTGTATGTAATTGAACATCATTCCATGAATACAAATGAAATGGCAATGGAATCAGAGATTTTGAAAATTGCAATTACCACCTTGACAACCATGGAACTTTGACCTGCCAAACAAAACAACTTGGCACAGTGTCGAATTCATGTCTAACAAGATATTAATCACAGACGGGCCCTTAGTTAGCCAAATAATATTACTTGTTGCATAATATATTATATAATCCACTTTTATGTTCCAGCATTTATCTAAAATATTGATTTGAGGCTCTGAACTAATTAATATTCAGATGTTCTTCCTGATAAAGCTGAGTTAATTCTTCACAATGCCACCCCACTGTGAAAGGTAGTCCCTGTCATGAGCACAGGAAAAACCTGGAATCCTATCTGCAGGAAGTCACATGTCTATTTCATCTAAAATTATTCAGGGGGTTGCCTGGGTGGCTCAGTCGGTTGAGTGTCAGACTCTTGGTTTTGACTCAGGTCATGATCTCAAGGTTTGTGGGTTTGAGCCCTATCGGGCTCTGCATTGACAGTGCCGAGCCTGCTTAGGGTTCTCTCTCCCGTCTCACTTTGCCCCTACCCCACTTCCACATTCTCTGTCTCAAAATAAATAAATTTTAAAAAATATTTTAAAACTATTCAGGAACAAGCTTAAAAAGATGAAGTAAGATACAACCCTGTTCTGCTACATTTAAAATAAGAATTTTCTCTAGCATAAGATTATTCCTGCCTGATTTGACTCCAGAATTATTTTCACAATCAAAACTCTCTGTAAAATCTGGAAAATCTTTGATATGTACAGAGATCATATAATTCAATCCATAAATAATGTTTGTATATGTAATCAAAGATCAATAAGTCAATAAAAGTTATAAAATATAATTACTGCTATTCAGTTAAAGCAGAGCACTAAAGCAATGATCAATTACAGAACACTAAAGCCTAAATCCTGCCTGTTTCTCTGACAAGAAGACAAATTACAAAAACCAATGCCATCCTCGGGAAAAAAATGCTGCAAAGAACTGAGAAGCTGTCCAGAATGCAGATGTACATGTAATGTTGGAGGTGGGTGATCAGTATTTTTGAAGAGAGACTGAGACTATACTTTGTATTCTCCCTGTGGAGATTGTATTGGAGAAGTGAATTCGAATAACTGATATTGCAAAAATTCAAACTCATAGTAAGAAAACAGTTTCAAGAGCTGTCCGATAAAATGCTCTTCTCTGGCTGTGTTGCTGGTTTTGTTAGCTATCTGGGGCTGAAAACCAGAATCATCTGTGGAGCTTCATAAGCTATAATTACCTGGGTCCCATGTCTAGAAAGTGCCTGCATCCTGAGTCACAGCTAAGGCGAGCACAACCTACCAGTCAGGGTCAGCCACTTTGGAGCGAGACGTAAACATCTAACATGTCTGAGCTTACATATTTGGAAATTTCTTGTTAAGAAGCTAGCATTACTTACCCATACACATGGCTAGAGGAATATATCATTGGAGGAAAAATCAGAGTCCAGCCTTGGGAACTGTCTGACCCACAGGCTTCCCATCCCTCCTCGCAAGTCCAACCCTGGGCTATTTACCATAACCCTGCCATCTAGAAAGCATAAGCTGCTGGAAGAGTTGTTACACATTTCCCCCTAGATGACAGGGACACAGAGCCTTCAGCTGATACAGACAACTCTACACTTTATCAAATTCAGTTCATTTTATACTTTTTACTTTGGCTCATCCTTGATAGTCTAATCAGAGTGACAGAGTCACTTTAACATTTTGGTTCAGCCTCACCTCAGCACACATGTGATTCTGCTTTAACAATGAAGAACAACCTTTCTAGTTACCTAACATACACTGTTACCTTGCCAGCAACTTCATTAGAAATTCCTATAATTTCTACCAGGAACCACATTATAAAATTGCAAGAGCCAAATCTGATGATCTCACACACACACACACACACACACACACACACACACACACACACACCCCTTTCTGATGTGAGGGCGTGCATAATTTGGAGGCAGGTAAAAAATGAAGACATATCACACAAAAAGCAGCCATAGCAAATTGTAGACTATTCCTTGGAGTGTAAAATGATGGCTAACAAGAACAAAAGGTTTTCTTTCTCTCTCTCTGAGCTTCCTGAACCTCCCTATCACACCATTCTAATTCTGCATGCTGCAGATGCAAAGAGGGTAATACTGAGGCAGGGGGAATATATTGGGATTAAAGAAGAAACAATCACTTTCAACCAGTGATCCAGTATAACAAATAATTAATAATACTGATCCCCTTGAGTCATTGGCTTCAGTTTCTGATGGAAAAAAAAATTATGGAGAAAACTAACACCTTGAACAGAAGGCACCTTATTCTTTAAAATTTAGGTCACTTGTAGGCAGAGCATGTTAACTCCCCTGGGAAGAGAGGCAGGGAAGGATTTCGGGTGAGAGCCAGTCTGTTTACTTCTTTGCCCTGCCAAATTTCAAGATAAAATTCTTTTTTGTTGTTGTTTCTGGAAATATTCAGAGATGACAGGATCAGAGAGTATGCAGCTGTTTGCCTTTTATAACTTAAAAGTCAAATGTGTCTACAGTTTCTGATTTGCTAACTCTGACAGCGTTTGACAAGCCTGGTGAATACAGCACACCTGACCAATTTCTTGGGGTGGGCAAATTTATAGATTTTTTTCAGTTAGCATGCCCAAGAAAAAGGGTTTCCAGGAGAAGTCAGCCAGCTCTGCAGGCTGAGAGCACACTAGAGTTGATGAGAATGAAATTGGATGTGCATGGGGCTAACCACTGGGCTCTGGGAATATTAAATGAAAACTTACATAGGGAACACATTCAGGTATTAAAAAAAATGGTTAGTGTGGCAGGTTTGAGGGAAGTCAACTAAATGAGATTTTCAGTTGTAGGGGGAATGGGGTCTCAACATGTCAGAACCCCAATGAACAGCACAAATGAATTCAAGCAGAAGAGAAGTTAAGGCTGGTTATTAGTAGAAATGATTTCCTGCTAAAATGTGGAGCCCCAACATCATATATATACTTTGCTCTATGGTATCTCAAGCCTAACCCAAAATGCTGTGCAATTTTTCTCCAGGTAAACAAGGGAGGTTTGCCACAGGACTTCTTTTACTAGTTGTGATAAGCTAAGGGTTTCTTTTTTCAATAAAAGCTTCATTTTTCTGAAATGACGTGAATTAGGTTCCCGGATCTCAAGGCATACGGATGCCACAACTAGGGTACAAAACCCCCTGTGCTGAAACTCCAGGTGGAGATAACTCCAGCCATAACCAGTCAGATTCTCTTTGTTAATTCAAGTTTTCCAGGACACTTCAATCCAGGGGAAAACGGGAGGGTGGGAGAGCAACAGGCAGGGAGATAACCTGGAGGGAGATAGCCACCCAAAATTCCAATTCCTCCCCTCTCCCCTAAAGCCCACCTGCAAGTACTCACTCCCTCTCAAATTCTCCACCAACATTTCTGGGCAACCCTAGCAGTATCAAATAGGTATTTCGTGGCAGAGAATGGGGCCTCTCAGTTGGCCATGCATCCTCCATGTTCTCTTCTCCTAAGACATCCCGCCAGTCCCAGAATCATTTTATTGGAGGCACCACTGCTGCTCTGCTCACCAAGGCAGTGACACAACTGTCAGTGCCCTTGACACCCAAACAGATGCTGTCCACCCCAGGTGCTGACAGTGTGAACCTGCCAACCAGGCAGTGTCACAGGAGTGCCATCTGCCAGCCGAGCCAAGACTCTAATGCTCTCTGCTGGCACTGTAAAAACTACTGG